CACAGTCAGTAAAAAAGGGGGACAAAACTTTTTTTTTAGATACATAAATGAGAAAAGAAAAGTAAAACAAGGATTAGTTAGATTAAAAACAAAAGAAGGAAGGTATGTAGAAGAGGATAAAGGTCTAGCTGACTGCCTCAATGAATATTTTTGTTCGGTATTTACAGATGAAAATGAAATAAAGGGACCTCAGTTAAGAAAAAGGATAAATGAGTCATTTATTACACATGAGTTTACAGAGGAAGAGGTTCTATTTCAACTGTCAAAAGTAAAGACAAATAAGCCAATGGGACCTGATGGAATACACCCAAAGCTATTAAAAGAGCTTAGTGGTGTACTAGCAAAACCATTAACAGATTTATTTAACCAATCATTGTTAACAGGAGTAGTCCCAGAAGATTGGAAGTTAGCGAATGTTGTGCCCATTTACAAGAAAGGTAATAGGGAGGAGTCGGGCAACTATAGGCCAGTAAGCCTTACTTCAGTAGTGGGGAAAGTGATGGAAACCATGTTAAAGGATAGGATTGTTGAACATCTAAAAACACATGGATTTCAATATCAGAGACAACATGGGTTTACTTCAGGGAGATCATGCCAAACTAATCTTATTGATTTTTTTTGATTAGGTAACTAAAATTATAGATCAGGGTGGTGCAGTATACATTGTTTACCTAGATTTCAATAAGGCTTTTGACACTGTTGCACATAGAAGGCTTATCAATAAACTGCAATATTTAAGTTTGGATTCAAATATTGTTGAATGGGTAAGGCAGTGGCAGAGTGACAGGCAACAGAGGGTTGTAGTCAATAGAGTATATTCGAAGCTTGGGCTTGTCACCAGTGGGGTACCTCAGGGATCTGTACTTGGACCCATTCTCTTTAATATTTTTATTAGTGATATTTCAGAAGGTCTTGATGGTAAGGTATGTCTTTTTGCTGATGATACTAAGATATGTAACAGGGTTGATGTTCCAGGAGGGATAAGCCAAATGGCAAATGATTTAGATAAACTAGAAAAATGGTCAGAATTGTGGCAACTGACATTTAATGTGGATAAGTGCAAGATAATGCATCTTGGACGTAAAAACCCAAGGGCAGAGTACAGAATATTTGATAGAGTCCTAACCTCAACATATGAGGAAAGGGATTTAGGGGTGATTATTTCTGATGACTTAAAGGTAGGCAGACAATGTAATAGAGCAGCAGGAAATGCTAGCAGAATGCTTGGTTGTATAGGGAGAGGTATTAGCAGTAGAAAGAGGGAAGTGCTCATACCATTGTACAGAACACTGGTGAGACCTCACTTGGAGTATTGTACACAGTACTGGAGACCGTATCTTCAGAAGAATATTGATACCTTAGAGAGAGTTCAGAGAAGGGCTACTAAACTGGTTCATGGATTGCAGAATAAAACTTATCAGGAAAAGTTAAAGGATCTTAACATGTATAGCTTGGAGGAAAGACGAGACGGGGGGATACGATAGAAACATTTAAATACATAAAGAGAATCAACACAGTAAAGGAGGAGACCATATTTAAAAGAAGAAAAACTACCACAACAAGAGGACATAGTCTTAAATTAGAGGGGCAAAGGTTTAAAAATAATATCAGGAACTATTACATTACTGAGAGGGTAGTGGATGCATGGAATAGCCTTCCAGCTGAAGTGGTAGAGGTTAACACAGTAAAGGAGTTTAAGCTTGCGTGGGATAGGCATACGGCTATCCTAACTATAAGATAAGGCCAGGGACTAATGAAAGTATTTAGAAAATTGGGCAGACTAGATGGGTCGAATGGTTCTTATCTGCCGTCACATTCTATGTTTCTATGTTTCATCTTAGGGGTTGGTGACTGGGCCACTGCCTCAATCTTAGTGGGCTCGGTCTTCTGTTGCCCGCATCCCACTCAGTGACCGAGGTACTGTTGGCCATCAAGAGAGCATTTGATGAATGGATACATCTCTTGGAGAGCACCACGTTTCCTGTTATGGTCTACACAATTTACGAAAACCTGGAATACATCCATACAGCCAAAAGATTAAATCCTTGACAAGAGAGATAGGCCTTGTTCTTCTCCTATTTTACTTTCCATGTTACCTTTTGTCCAGGATCGAAGAATCAAAAAGCAGTTGCTTTGTCAAGAATGTTCCCCACGGATAACACTACTGTCAAAACAGACATGACCATTTTACAAGACCATCATTTTGTGGGAATTACATCCAGTTTAAAACGTTATGTCAATTCCAGCACCATCTGTGGCAGATCCAAAACTCCTAACCCTAGAGCTGCTGGTTTGTTGAATCCCTTACCTATTCCTTTACAACCTTGGCCACACATTACAGTCAATTTTATTGTGGAACTACCTAAATCACATGGCAACGATACCATTATGGTGGTGGTGGATAGCCTTACAAAAATAGTGCTTTTTGTACCCATCAAGGGACTGCCTTCTGAGAAGAAAACAGCACAACTGTTTCATGATACCATTTTCAAGCTTCACGGAATTCCCCAGTTCATTCTCTCTGACAGGGGTACCCTCAAGATTCTGGTGTGCCTTTTGTCATTCATTACATATTTCTGTTGATTTGTCTACAGCATTCCATCCAAAAACCAATGGGCAGACAGAACGAACCAACCAAACTTATATTCGTTGCTATACCACTAATCTTCAATCTGATTGGAAAGACCTTTTGGCATCTGCCGAGTTTGCGTATAATGCTAACGTGCACGATTCCACTCATCATTCACCATTCCATCTTAATTATGGTTACCAACCTTATTCATTACCTGGCCTACCTGTACTCACATCTGTTCCAGATGCTACTGAATGTATTTGACTATCTGATGGTTTGAACAAGCACGAAAGATATTACAAAGGAGTCAAATGATATATAAATGTTATGCTGATGGCAAGAGAAAACCTGCACCGCAGTATGCGGTAGGTCAAGCCGTATGGTTGTCTACAAGAAACCTCAAGTTGTCATGTCCTTCTAAGAAATTTGGCCCCTAATTAATTGGTACTTTTCGTATCATCAAGCTGGTTTCTCCTGTTGCTGTCCGTTTGACTCTTTCAAGACGCTACCGAATTCATCCCAGTTTCCATGTGTCTCTTCTGAAACCAGTGTCAGATTATCCTTTTCCTACCAGATCTCCTCCTCCTCCTGATCCAATTAACGTTTCTGGTGAAACCGAATATGAGGTGCATAGCATCCTTGACTTCTGTGGTCGCAGAGGCGCCCTTGAGTATTTCATACAGTGGAAGGGTCCTGAAGGCAGATCTTGGGAACCTGCTGTTAATGTTCATGCCCCTCGCCTCCTTCATAGATTTCATCTCCTGCATCCTGCCAAACCTGCACCTTCTTACCTCTGGTGGCAGCATCTTCAGGGTGGCTACTATAACCCCCAGACCAACCTGACCATGGAACCCCAGCCCAATCAGACACTTACCTACTACACTGCTCTCCACGCTGCACCGACGGAGACTGCGGCTTCCAAGCTGCATCAGTCGAATCCGCTCTCCGACAGGATGTTCTAGGCGTGCATGCACAAGAACAGAAGTGTCTTAAAGGGGAAGTAGGCATTTTCCAAAAGGAGATCCCACGAGACAGGTACGACACCTGTGAAATGTGCTCCACCCCCTCTTCTATATAAGCTTGCTCAGAGACCTTATATCTTTGATCAGTATTCTGTGCTCCAGACTCCTATCAAGTTGTTCCCTGTTCCTGTCTGCTTATCTGATACTCGACCTCTGGCTTGTTCTACGTTTATGATCTTGCGCTGCCTGAACTGACCCTTTTGCCTGTCTGACTCTGACTTGTCCTTGTCTGTACTTCGTTTTGAAAAACTAAAGTCTGTAACTGCATATTGGGCTCTATCTACTAAACCGTGACATCTTGTTACATGCAATATGCATTGTATAACATTAGAGGAGCTACACTATAAATTAATCTATTGTTGGTATATGGTGCCCCAATGAATGCATAAGTCAAACTCAAATCTCTGTTGGAGATGTCCATCAGATATAGGTAGTATTTACCACATCTGTTGGGAATGTATATTATTAAATTCACTAAAAACATGTTTATGTAACTTACTCCACCTTCTGTTACCATGCATTCATACTATGTCTCCTCAAATGCTTCTGTTTATTATTGATTTTCCTACTAGTAATAAAACTCAGAAGAATTTAATCTTTCACATTTTAATGGCCTATAAGTTGTGTGTGGCAAGGAACTGGTAAAATAATAGGACCACTACAATGGCTGAGGTATATAATCAACTAGAATTTCAGCACAGAATGGAATTTGGATTCTATGTATTGAAGGGGCAACTAGAAAAATATAGAGACATTTGGACACAAAACAAGGACTTTCAACCAATTACAAACAAAATCTCTTGATGGTGATCCAACAGGATACAACAGGTAGAGGGCCCTGCCTGTGAGCTTCTTTCTCTTTCTGAATGAATAAAGTATGAATGGAACATGCTTGCACTCATGGTCTTTTACTATCTAGCATACAAACAACGATATTTTGGGAATCAGCTGGACATCTGAGGAGAAAAACATAAACAAAGCATAGTGTAATACAGTTGGATACAATGTAACTACGCTTTTTTCAAATGCACTCACATTGTGTTGTAAAAGATCGCGCCTTGGGGTGCCTCCCCTGGTATAGGCTGGGAGGCTATCACCTTCTTTAGGTCCCTCCTGGTGCAAATCCTAGTGCAGATCTGGTTCGTGATGAAATCATAGAATCTGAATATTTAGCTTCATAAAAAATTCTTTATTATGTACAAATGAATAGTAAAAACAATATTCCAAAATGAAATCTACTATCTATCATTTACTAACCTAGTGATCACCAGCTTGAATGCAAAAATGTTTGACCTTTCTCTGTTGTATATTTGTAATAAGATATCTCTTTTTTCATAATAAGGAAACATAAATAAAAATAATGCTGCAGGTTTTTCCAGGCCAAAATCAATAAGAAAGTTGTAAGTATGTATTTTAGGTGCAGTACAGGATAAGACTTGATCAATATGCCGCATTCATTCTTGCCAGTATGTTGTATTAAGATATTGATAAGTGACATGGAGAGAAAAAAAAAACATGCATAAATTTAGACAGCATCACTTCCCTGCAGTAACATTGTCTGTGCCATTGCCTGACCACGCATATACATTGATCTGTATTTTGTGCTATTTGTATTGATCAGTATAATTGAACTTGATATTATATTAAACCATCGTAGGATGCTACAAGGCAGGGAGCACAATAATTAAAACTTGTCATGTTGAATTGCAATTTCCACGGTACTAATAACAAAACTGTTAAAATCTATATGTGAGATTGGATGTTATTTCTTCTATCTTAAAAAAAAAAAGTGTCAGCGTCTCTCATGTGGGGAAAGTCCTCTAAACAGCAGACTGCTCGTAAAAAATAAGCACAAAAGAAACAAATCACAGTGCAGAAAATTAAAACAATGTGTCAGAAAAGAAATAATAAATATGAGAACACTCAAATACATATCGCCAACAACATGCTCTCATCACTCACATCTGTGGGTCATTTTGGTTACCCCTGTGGCAATATATGGACCATACTTTATATTGATGGATTCCATCGGAATATAGAGGAAGTAAAACAAGATATAATAGTGCACACTGTATCACAGAGTACTACTAAAAAAGTAGTAATTCAACTCACATACATCAGAGTCAGAAAAGGGGCTCAGACAAAAATTGCTTAAAAGTTGTTGGTGTCAGTCAAAACAAACTTAAAAAGACCCCAGGAATCAAAAGATGCTGCACAGGTAAGTAGACATTCATATAAAAAGGTTTGATTAAAATGGAAAAATAAAAAAATAAATTGCAACAAAATAACCAAAAAGCATTTTGCCGATATCTCTTAAGGTTTGCTCAGTTGGTAATGAATAGCAAGCTGTCAGTAGCACATATAAATACACACACTTATCACTTAATGTCCAATTGCCAACAGGACTTGAATTCGATGATCCTTCAAATCTGTGAGTAGGCAGGGAATTTTGAAATCCGATTCTGTTCCAGTGCTTTTAGGCTGTGGAATGATCCTTCAAGGTTTCTCACTCCTCTGTTTATACGTTTGGGTTTCTCATCTAGAATATTATAAAGATAAGGATCCTTTATTAAAATAGGCCAAAAATAACTACTCAACTACTTTTTCTTTCTTCTTATATTTAAAGTGACACTATTATGCCGAACATACCTTTCCCTAATCGCTTCCTCTTCTTTTCCTCTCTCGGGATCTGTTCTTCATTTATTCCTGTCTACTCTAGTTTTCTTTAAAACATGAGACAAAGTAAGGACTATTTGGTCTTATGTATTTTTCCTACGCTTGACCAGCTTTGACCATCGGAGGAGCCAAGTGTGCTCCATTTCCTGTGGTCAGAGCAATTTCCCACAATTCTCACCTTTCCTCCGTGATCTCGCAATGCCTCCTTTCACTATTCCTGAACGTCCTGTAATTTAGACAGACATCTGGCGAAACAACCAATTTTCATCCTAACAGAATGAGAACAGGTTGTTCTTTCATGTTAGGACACAATCAGTACTTTTAGGTCTGTTTGATCTGTGCTGCGGCTGCATCTTGCAGCCGCTTAGTAGATAGCTCCCTAATTCCCACGGTTTCAGGGAGCTATCTACCAAAAGGCTGAAAGACCAAGATTGGTCTTTCAGCCAACTTCACTAATACTTAGTAAAAATTACTTAGTATTAGTAATGAATCTGCCTCTACTTGCTATATCGCGAGTAGGGGCAGCCTGCTCACTATTATAAAAGATAAATAAAGCCTCCCCGAATAAATGGCCCCATGGTGGGGCATATCTTAACTAGTGGGGGGGACATAGGGGGGTTATTCAACTAAATGGGGACATAGGGTCCCCCTTGGCCCCCACCCATGAGCGGCGGATGGGGGACCTAAATGAAAAAGGGGGGGACCTATTGTCTTCCCCCTAGCCCCCACCCATAAGCAGTGGGTGGGGGCCCTAAAAGTCAATAGGGGGGGACCTATTGTCCTCCCCCTTGGCCCCCACCCATAAGCGGTCGGTAGGGTCCCTAAAAGATAACGGGGGGACCTATTGTCTTCCCCCTAGCCCCCACCCATAAGCAGTGGGTGGGGGCCCTTAAAGACAATAGGATGGACCTATTGTCCTCCCCCTCGGCCCCCACCCATGAGCGGTAGGTAGGGTCCTAATGTAAAAATACCCCCCAAGGGTTGACTAGAGGGCCCCAAGTCCCTAGTCACCCCATCCAAAAAAATGTATTAAAGCCTTACCTACCAATCAGGGTGCTCTGAGTCATTTTACACACCATGGGAAAATTCCAAAGAACTTTCCCACGCTGTGTAAAATGACTCAGAGCAGTCTGATTGGTTGGATTCCAAGCCAACCAATAACAGTGCTCTGACAGGTAAATTTGAGCCTTGCCTGATTGGTAACTTGCAAGGCTCAAATTTACTTATCAGAACACTCTTATTGGTTGGCTTAAGAGCGCTCGGAGTCAAATTGTAGGGTGTGGGAAGGCTTTATAAGCCTTTCCCCGCCCTTCATAGCTAAGTCTGCGCGGTGCCCTTACTGGGTGAAGATTAATTATTTTTTTCTGGCGTATTTTTTTTTTTTGCACTCGGGTTTTTAATTTATTTTTAAAGTTCGACGGGTATTATGGATTTTTTTGACCTTTTTTGGGGCTGAGAAAAGGTTTTAGAAAAAATAAGACATCAAATGGTAAGTATTTTTATTATTTATTTACAGGTGTTTTGTTTTTTTTTGTCTCCCCCTCACTATTTTTAGGGTGAATGGGGTAGATAGGGCTTTATTTAAAAAAAAATTTGGGTGGTGTTTTTTTTTTTTTACATTTAGCAATAGGTACCCCCCTTTGGGAATGAGTGGGAATTTCACAGTGCTATCTAGCATGGGCAGAGGACGTGTCCCACAGGGACTTCATCTGCCCCCACAAAGATGGCGGCGCCCAGGACCTAGGTCCGGGCACAAAATGAAGATAGGTTATATAGGGGCTTAGGGGCATTTAGGGATGACTAAGGGGGCAATTAGATGTAGTGGAGTCAGGAGGGGGGTTCAAAATAACTGGATTCAGCCATGACAGTGTCACTTTAAGTAGTTCTATTCCGTCCTTCTTCCCTATTGGTTCTTAACAGCAATATATTTTATTTTGTGGCCTTTGTGTAGAAAATTCCCTTTACTTATTTCCACTTGTCCCTGATAGATCCCATCATCAGTACACTTCTTGATTTCTTTTTTTTTTTTTTTTTAATTTTGTATTTTTGTAGTGCAGAGTGGTACAGAAGATTTTCAAGCGCCACAGCAGTGAATACATAGAGTCAAACAGCTTTAACAATGGCACGAGTATTTGCACATTTTTGAAATATTAACAGACTTGTAAGAACAAGCTTAACATAACTATTGGGTGCTGCCAAGTGCTCGAATAATCATGCGGTGTGAGAAGTTACAGCCGGCTAGAACATACATGTCTACCTGGGTGATTCAAAAGCAATAGGCATCAGGCATGGTGACCATGAGAGTGAGCGGGTAAAGTAACCCAACATGCTAGTAGTCATAGTATATATCATTTGTATCTCTACATAGTATTACAATTTGCTATCTTGGTGTGAGTAGCTAACGCCGGGTGGGCTATCCTTTGCCAGCGTAATTAGCATAGCTACTCAGGATTAGGGTTAGTAGTTTGGTAGTTGGTTTGGCCTGTTTAAACGCCTTACTGTGTGTGTTATATCAACATAGGTAACAATAGCATATGCAAGTGAGGTTGGACTCACAAAAGACAACAAAAGATAAAAAAAAAAAATTTAAATAAAGTAAAACAGAAACTTAAACTGTCACCGTGTGATGGCTTAAAGGTTAGTCTCGTGCCCCAGTCCCGGGTTACAGCGGTGTCATTTCAGATCTGCGTGCCCGTCTGGTGCTAGAGTCGGGCCTGCAGCCCACCCCCACTGTTGGGGGGTTGGCTTGATGCGCGATACAGCACTGTCTGAGGGGTTATGGATGGGCATAGTTCTGTCAGGGCGACCTTCCACCTTCGAGTCTGGGGTTCTGCCTTATGATCTCAAGTGCCGGGAGTCCGTGTCACTGCATCCCTCAGGCGATGCTGTCGGTGTACGCGGCCTGCAGGTCTCTGCTGACTTTGCCACTGGGGGTCAGCTCTCCAGCTTAGTTTGTTCGCGGTCTCCCACGACCACTGGGGCAGAGGTGTGGCTCTTCTCGTTCGCTTGTGTGATACAGCCTTCCTTTGCCTGGGTAGTTGGGAGGGGGCCAGGCCCCAGTTGTTTTGCTGCTTGGGTGTGTGCGATGCTTAAGGGGCCGAATGCTGACAAAGCCCGTGTCTCCCAGAGGGTAGGTTTTGTTCTCGGTGCTCTTTGGGGTGCAGCGAGGTTGCCGCCATGCGCTCTTCTAGTCAAGCCCAGAATTTTTTAAATATTGCCTCCAGTCTCTGTGAGGGGCTATCTGCACTGCTGCCTCCCCCAGGGTATGTAGTCCTCAGGTTCTGCTCTTTCTTTAAGGGCCTCCTGCCATTTTAGCAATTATGGGGGTGTACTCCATAGGTGCCAGATCTCCCCACAATGGCGTCAATTTTGAGCAGTTCAGCCTGGCAGGGACCGGGATTTCCCCTGCCGGTCCATAGGGGGGGGTGACGGGGACTTAGATTCTGCCTGACTGTGTGTGTGTGTGCGGTGGGGGAGCGACCTGCTTGTAGGCCGCAACATCGGGGGGGAGGAGCGGGTTGGACCCGGTAGTTATATCCACTTGTGGGGTGTCTTTTTGTTGGTCTTGGTCTCCCCTCTCGCTTGGCGGCCCTGTTGAGTTTAGTCACAGCCTCCTTTAATCGGGAATCGGCTTCAATTAAAGTTATCTGCGGGAGCAGGAGCGACATGCGTCTGCTCCCTTCTGCGGTCAGGCCCCGCCATCAAATTTTTTATTTCTTAACAGTTAGCCACATAGAATACTCTTGAGCCAAATACTAGATTGATACTTTGATACTAGTGATTGCTATAGAGCTGTTAGTGTCCTAAAGTTCAAAATACTTTTTAGTTATGGCACAACCATTTTCAATATAACTAGTAAGATCAAGAAAGTTTAAGCTCTCTTGACTAATTGTTTAATCCAATTCGATACCCCAATTATTCATATTAAGCTGTTTAAAGAATAGATTAAGGGATTTCACTTCCTTATCCCAGATTAAAAAGATGCAGTCTATGTAATGTTTACAGAGGACCAGTCTTTATGACCAGCTATCTAAACTAAAGACACATTGGAATTCCAAAAACACCATAAATAGATTTATGTAGCTGGTCGCCAACATCATCCCCATTGCTTTTGCTTTCTATTGAAGAAACAAATACCAATTAAAACAGGAATAATTGTTTGTTAAAATAAACTTAATTCCTTCCAATATATATTCAATCTGCAAAACACTGCATCAATTAGACTCTCTAAACTAATGTTCAACAGCCGAGTAACCTCTACCATAAGATTTAATGCTGTAAAGATAGTTCACATCACATGTGAACAGACAGCCACTGGAGGCGCTTCCTGGCTGCTAACAGACATTTGGTCCAATAACTGATGCTGAATGTCTTCACGCTCTGCATGAGAACATCCAGCGTCAGCTATTTCTCCATAGGAAAGCATAGTTTCAATAGTAGACATGTGCAATTCGGTTCGGTCCAAATGGCCGAAGTGCCGAATTTTTGAAGTGCCTAAGTGCCGAACCGAATCGAATTGCCGAAGTGCCAAATTGCTGAATTTGCAAAGTGTCCAGGTGCCGCATTTCGGAAGTGCTGAACCGAACCGAATTGCCGAAGTGCCGAATTTCGGAAGTGCCAAAGTGCTTCGGACTTCTGAAAAGTGGCAAAACGGGTAGGGATAGGATTGGGGTTGAGGTAGGGTTAGGGGTTAGGATAGGGGTTGGGGTAGGGTTAGGAGTAGTGTTAGGGTTAGGTTAGGAGTAGGGTTAGGTTAGGACCTACCTGAACCATAACCTTAACCCTACTCCTAACCCTAACCCTACTCTAACCCTACCCCTAACCCTAATCCTAACCCTAACCCTACTCCTAACCCAATCCTAACCCTAACCCTACTCCTAACCTAACCCTAACCCTACTCCTAACCTAACCCTCCCCCGAACCCTACTAACCCTACTCCTAACCCTAACCCTAACACCACTCCTAACCCTAACCATACATCTAGCCCAACTCTAACCCTACTAACCCTACTCCTAATCATACTCCTAACCCTACTAACCCTAACCCAAACCTTACTCCTAACCCAACTCTAACCCTAATCCAACCCTAACTCTAATCCTACTCCTAACCTTACTCCTAACCCTAACCGTACCCTAACCCTACCCTAACCCTACCCTAACCCTACTCCTACTCCTAACCCTACCCCTACCCCTAACCCAACACTAACCCCTAACCCTAACCTTAACCCTACTCCTAACCCAACCCTAACCCTACTCCTAACCCTAACCTTAACCCTACCCCTAACCCTACCCTAACCCTACTCTTAACCCTAACCAGACTCCTAAACCAACCCTAACCCTAGTCCTAATCCTAACCCTAACCCTACTCCTAATCCAACCCTAACTCTAATCCTACTCCTAACCTTACTCCTAACCCTAACCGTACCCTAACCCTACCCTAACCCTACTCTTAACCCTAACCATACTCCTAAACCAACCCTAACCCTGCTCCTAATCCTAACTCTAATCCTACTCCTAACCCTAATCCTACTCCTAACCCTAACCCTACCCCTAACTCAACCCTAACCCTAACCCTACTCCTAATCCAACCCTAACCCTAAATCCCGAAGTGCTTAATTGCCAAAGTCCCAAATTTCAGAAGTGCCGAACTGAAACAAATTGCGAAAGTGCCAAATTGCTGAAGTGCTGAATTTCGGAATGCCAAACCAAATTTTTTGCCCATGCACATCCCTATTCAATAGTTTCCTAGGAGAGAGCTAATGCATGTGCATTAGCGCCCCCTCAGCAGTAACGTCGGAGGAGGCGGAGACACGACCCAGCACCAATAAGCTAAGTAAATAAATGTTTTTTAACCATGTATTCACTTCAGAAGGGGGGTGCACGAGGAGCAGATTTGTATTCCTGCAACTTATAGTACCTCTTTAAAATACCCTGGGTTAATCTTGACAAATGGTTGAGGAAAAAGATCTATATAATGAGAATCGATACCTGGAATATTTGGGTGACCTTGAGGGTAATTAATAAAAAAATTTAATTTTGGGGTTCTCATTGTACAGAAACCCATCCTTATTTAAGGTATTCAATGATCTGTTCTGACATGAGATGCACCTGCTACCACTGGCACAAGCAGCTTACCCACAATCAACGTTGCCATCACATGCACCACCATTATCACCACCACCAAACCACAACCATCAACATCACCTGTACCACCACAATCCACATATTCATTAGCATTAATTAGCCAAGTGCTAGTGTATCTTCAGTCTAGGCATCTTCTACTGTCACCAATGCAAATACAAATCCTGTGTCTGCATCAGCCACAAGGCAGAGGGTTGGGACAAATGATTCAAGCTGAAGCCTTGGATAACTTTGAGTGCCTTAAAAAAAGTTGACATGCAAAGTGCAAATTATTTGGCGTGAAGGGTCTTCTTACTAGTGTCGATATGAAGCAACATCAAGGTACCACAAGTCTGTTTTACTGAAGGAAGAAGTAGAACAAGAAAGTAAAATGGCCGGAAGCAGGTCCACTGGTGCTGTATTTGATTCTGCGCAGTTGTCACAATGTGCTACCATCACTACCCCCTCCACTACTACTACTACCACACATCATGCCAGTAGTTGACAGAATATATATGGAGGCCATGTCATTATTCCTTCCATTTCCATTGAAGGGACAAACGTGTCCCAAACATGCAGTCCCGGAACACAAACATCCCACTGAGTCACAACTATGGGAGAAACCAGACAGGTTTACAGAAAGCAGGCCTACTTCCCACAATTTGGGTGAGATCTACCCCACTTTTTGTCACATTGTATATCTGAGGAAACTCGGAAAGAGGACTATTTTTGATTGCTTTCCAACATGAGGCTTATCCAGTATTTTTTGCATATATAAATATGTAAAACATTTATTTATTTTTTTATTTTGCTTATGCGTTTTACTGTACGGTCCTGGTTCATTATTTTTGACGGCATAATTATTCCTGGTTTATATCAATTGCTTACTTGTAGTTTAGTTAAAAATCTCCTTTTTTTTCTTTTTTTGAGTATGGGCACAATAACATTTAGGCAAGTTGCCTGATGATTTTGCAATTAACCTGTATGCTAGCTAACATTTTCTTTTTTGTGTTTGTGTATACTTTTTTTTTCCAAGACCCTATAAAAGGATTTTTCAGTTTTTTTAACCTTTTTTGGTTATTATATTATGTGCATCAAATACACAGAATGCAGAGCAAAAAAAGAAATTCTTCACCATTAATAGGAATTTTTCTTTATTTATAGAGAAAAAATGATGCAAATTCATTACGTTTTAAGAAATGTTGTCATATAAATGAATTTCTTCAATATTTACATGTTATTCCAGAGTATTTATGCTGCATATACTGTTTATCGTAATAAGGATCTTTATTTGATTTCTAATTTATGTCTGCTTATGAATTTTTTGAAATCACACTATACCGGTGATACTCGAAAAATTAGAATATCGTGCAAAAGGTAATTTATTTCAGTAATGCAACGTAAAAGGGGAAACTAATATATGAGATAGACGCATTACATGCAAAGCAAGATGGTACAAGCTGTGATTTGTCATAAGTGCGATGATTATCTCTTACAGCTCATGAAAACCCCAAATCCACAATCTCAGTAAATTAGAATATTACATTTTATGAAGCACAGGTCATGTCAAACTAATTTGATTGCGTTCTACAAAGAAGTAAGTAGAAGTATAGATCATGGTGTTGCGGTGGATGTGATCTATTTGGATTTTGCCAAGGCATTTGCTACAGTTCTACACAATAGATTAGTGTTCAAACTCAAGGAAATCGGTCTAGATGAAAATGCTTGTTCTTGGCTAGAACATTGGCTTAAAAATAGAGTACAAAGAGTTGTCATTAATGGTAAATTTTCAAGCTGGACAGAGGTGGCAAGTGATGTCCCTCAGGGGTCTGTTCTGGGACCCCTTGTATTTAACATGTTTATAAATGATCTTGAAGACAGCATTGAAAGTCATGTTTCAGTGTTTGCAGATGACACAAAACTTTGTAAAATAATACAATGTGAGCAAGATATTACTTTGCTGCAGAGGGATTTAGATAGACTGGGGGACTGGGCACTCAAATGGCAGATTAAATTTAATGTGGAAAAATGCAAAGTTATGCACTTCTGCGTAAAGAATACACAAGTGATGTATACCTTTAATGGAAGTGAATTAAGGATAACAACACACGAAAAGGACTTGGGAATTGTTATAGACAACAAACTATGCAACAATGTGCAATGTCAATTAGCAGTAACCAAGGCCAGTAAGGTATTGTCATGCATGAAAAAGGGCATTCATTCTCGGGACGAGAATATCATTTTGTCTCTTTATAAATCACTGGTAAAACCACATATTGAATATGCTGTGCAATTTTGGGCACCTGTTCTAAAGAAGGATATTATGGCACTAGAAAAAGTGCAGAGGCGGGCTACAAAATTAATAAAGGGAATGGAACATATAAGCTATGAAGAAAGGTTAAGAAATTTAAACCTATTTAGTTTAGAAAAACGTCGGCTGAGAGGGGATATGATAACATTATACAAATATATTCTGGGCCAATATAAACCATTGTGTGGAAATATATTCACAAACCGGACTTTACATAGGACACGAGGCCATGCGTTTAGACTGGAAGAAAGAAGATTTTGTCTAAGGCAAAGGAAAGGTTTTTTTTCTGTAAGAACAATCAGGATGTGGGATTCTCTGCCTGAAGAAGTGGTTTTATCAGAGTCCATACAGATGTTCAAACAGCTACTAGATGCATACTTGCAAAAACAGAATATTCAAGGATATAATCTTTCAATGTAGGGTAATAACTTCTTGATCCAAGGATAAATCTGACTGCCATTCTGGGGTCAAGAAGGATTTTTTTTCCTAGCTTGTTGCAAAATTGTGCTTCAAACTGGGTTTTTTGCCTTCTTTTGGATCAACAGCAAAAAACAAATGTGAGGAAGGCTGAACTTGATGGACGTAATTCTCTTTTCAGCTATGTAACTATGTAACTATATAATATGTAACATGCAATTAAAGGGACACTATAGTCACCTGAACAACTTTAGCTTAATGAAGCAGTTTTGGTGTATAGAACATGCCCCTGCAGCCTCAATGCTCAATCCTCTGCCATTTAGGAGTTAAATCCCTTTGTTTATGAACCCTAGTCACACCTCCCTGCATGTGACTTGCACAGCCTTCCATAAACACTTCCTGTAAAGAGAGCCCTATTTAGGCTTTCTTTATTGCAAGTTCTGTTTAATTAAGATTTTCTTATCCCCTGCTATGTTAATAGCTTGCTAGACCCTGCAAGAGCCTCCTGTATGTGATTAAAGTTCAATTAAGAGATTGAGATACAATTATTTAAGGTAAATTACATCTGTTTGAAAGTGAAACCAGTTTTTTTTTTCATGCAGGCTCTGTTAATCATAGCCAAGGGAGGTGTGGCTAGGGCTGCATAAACAGAAACAAAGTGATTTAACTCCTAAATGACAGTGAATTGAGCAGTGAAATTGCAGGGGAATGAGCTATACACTAAAACTGCTTTATTTAGCTAAAGTAATTTAGGTGACTATAGTGTTCCTTTAATAAAACAAGAAGTGTACATAGAACAATATTGTACCTCTGAAAAGTATAAGCATGCATATGGACTCAGTACTTGGTTTGGGCCCCTTTTGCAGCAATTACTGCCTCAATGCGGCGTGGCATGGAAGCTATCAGTCTGTGGCACTTCTGAGGTGTTATGGAAGATCAGGATGCTTCAATAGCGGCCTTCAGCTCTTCTGCATTGTTCGGTCTCATGTCTTTCATCTTTCTCTTGGCAATGCCCCATAGATTCTCTATGGTGTTCAGGTAAGTCGAGTTTGCTGGCCAGTCAAGCACAGTAATCCCATGGTCATTGAACCAGGCTTTGGTGCTTTTGGCAGTGTGGGCATGTGCCAAGTCCTGCTGGAAAATGAAGTCAGCATCCCCATAAAGTTCGTCTGCGGAAGGAAGCATGAAGTTCTCCAAAATCTCCTGGTAGACGGCTGCGTTGACCCTGGACTTAATGAAGCACAGTGGACCAACACCAGCAGATGACATGGCTCTCCAAATCAACACAGACTGTGGAAACCTCACACTGGACTTCAAGCATCTTGCAGTGTGTGCCTCTCCATTCTTCCTCCAGACTCTGGGTCTTTGGTTTCCAAATGAGATACAAAAGTTGCTCTCATCAGAAAAGAGGACTTTGGACCACTGAGCAACAGACCAGGTCTGTTTTTCTTTAGCCCAGGTAAGACACTTCTGACATTGTTTGTTGTTCAGGAGCGGCTTGACAAGAGGAATACGACATCTGAAGCCCATGTCCAGGATCCGTCTGAGTGTGGTGGCTCCTTGTGAAAGTCCCCAACACTTTTGAATGGCCTTTTCCTGACAATCCTCTCCAGGCTGTGGTCATCCCTGCTGCTTGTGCACCTTTTTCTTCCACACTTTTCCCATACAACTTTCTATTAATGTGCTTTGATACAGCACTTTGGGAACATCCAACTTCCTTCGCAATTACCTTTTGAGGCTTTCCCTCCTTATGGAGGGTGTCAGTGATGGTTTTCTGCACAACTGTCAGGTCAGCAGTCTTCTCCATGATTGTGATTCCTACTGAACCAGACTGAGAGACCATTTAAAGGCTCAGAAACCCTTTGCAGGTGTTATGGCTTACTTAGCTGATTAGAGTGGGACACTGTGAGCCGAGAATATTGCACCTTTTCACAATATTCTAATTTACTGAGATTGTGGATTTGGGGTTTTCATGAGTTGTAAGCCATAATCATCGTACTTATGACAAATCACGGCTTGAACTATCTTGCTTTGCATGTAATGCATCTATCTCATATATTAGTTTCCCCTTTTACACTGGATTACTGAAATAAATGAACTTTTGCACGATATTCTAATTTTTTGAGTATCACACTATATTCACTGTGTTGCACATTACTAGTGGCATTTACATTATTACTGGCACTCTATTTAAATATGTTAAACATGTCTTAAAGTGCTATGCTGTTTTAAAAAAAATATTTTTTATTTTTATAAATTTTTTAATTGTATCCCTTTTTTATGTAATAAACTTGCAATACTTTATACCAAAATGGTTGCATTGTGATACTGATTGCCCAGATTTGCTCCTACTGTCCAGCCTGCATTGCTTCTCTTGATGGCGCTTTGGTGGCAGCCCACAGTGCCTGGGCATGGTGGGGGATTGTGGAATAGGTCCACCCTCACAGCAAACCATACTTGAGCATTGCAGGAGCATTGTCGGGTATTTCCCCAATAGTCTCAGGGTGTCATGAGGCCACAACAAACAGAGTCTATATTAGCAGTAGTAAACTGCACTGAAATAAACATATTACCTGGCCAAACTTAACGTAATATAGACAGGAAATGTGGTGAAATACAAGTCTAAGTAATGATAATATAGAGCATGTGAAAATGAGAACTAGCCAGTACAAGGTATATCAATCAAACAGATAAACAAGAAAGGGCAGGGTTACAAATAAATTCAGGGTCAAGAACAAAGTCAATACCAGAAATATCACAATTTATCAAGGAACGCACTAAAGGGTATTGGGAACAGAAACCATGATAGGGTACAGCAAATATGGCCAGAGGAGTTTAAATGTCAATATGTGTTATTTGATTGGTCCACGTCATACCTGTGACCCCAAAACGGGAACATTGAACTAAAATGGACCTACTAGAACCTGCTTCAGATGCAAGCAGCATCTTTTTCTTTAACATTTGGGCCATGCAAATGTTCTGAGTTCCTGACCTTCATGAGAGGTAGTTAACACTACAAAGGCCTAGTCATCTCTTAAGGCAGAAGCAAGAGTATAGAGGGCTTTTAAGACATCATCTTTGACAGGATATCAGCACACGCTGGAAGTCTACTTTATACATGGTGGAAAGAATTTTGGAGCAGCAGAGGGCAATCCATAGTCTTCTTACCACTCCATTGGCATTGACTGAGGTATGAGACAATAATAGGGCAGTTAAAGCACTGTGCAACTTAGTAATGCCAGTTTGAGAAAGGGGATCCCTTATTCAGCCATCTCATAATAAATAAATAAATAATTAAATTACTCTTGCTGCTGTTCCCCATTTTCTCAAATGCCTTTTATTGTGGTGATTTTGCCTTGCATTTCTGAATCTTGCGGTGCCTGCAACCCCTGCAGACACAATTGGAAGAAACTGATAGTTTTTCCCACATTGATATATGGATGGTCACTGATGTTACAGACTGGAGGTGTATCAAACTGAATTTTGGATGACATCCATTTTGCATTATCTCGTAGCTCCCTCCTTGTTTTAAACTGAAACAACGAAGAGTAATAAATTGAATGCAAACAAGCAAATTCTTCTTTGTTTAATTATTTTGGACAAATGGACAAATTGACAAACATTAATCCAAAAACGTGTTCATCCAAAAACAAATGCCCAAGTGTAATAAATATTGATGGAGACCTGCATGGCTGTGGTAGGTAAACCATTTAAAAAAAATGAAAATATTAAGTGTTTTCATGTATTTTGGTGTAACAGAAAATGCATTACAATTGAAAAGGAGAGCAACGCCCCCTTCTGCATTAGCTATATTCATTTTAGCCCAAGTGATGCTTTTATCCAATGAATACCAATTAAACAGGGTTAGAAGCGATATAATAAAATCAGAATTTTTGCTTGTGTGATATCTGGCTAGGGGGCTGAAATGGCTGGAACCAACTAAGTGTCAAACAATTTGAAAACATGTTGACTCTAGCCAGGCAACACCTGGCAAAATAACCACTAGAATAGAGTTAATGGTGTTTAGATACAACATATATTGACTTTGTTTTTCAGCAGGTTTGGAGATATTGATGGAGAATTTCTGCTCTTCCTGTTTAGTGTTTGGCGTCTCTTCCCAACCAAATGGACCCGTTAAGACCAAAAATCAAAGACAAATTGCATGCACAATTTTCACATCTTTCAATCTTTTTGCCAAAAGTGCATATCCACCCTAAGTGTCCAAATACGAAAGTTGCATAAAGGCACAAAACATGTCAAGATATTAGCTACACATTTCTTGTGGTAAGAGTGCATTCTAGTACTATGCAGTAGAACTATAATAACGAGTAAGAAGAGCTTTGATCTAATAATTAATAGAGAATCTGATGTTTGATGTAAAAACAAGGTAGATATTTATAAGAAATATGTAACGGATCTTCCTGTACCCCGGTTGGGTACCTCTGCCAAAGGATGCTCCGAGTGCTCACCGAGGCCTCCAAGCACTCCACCAGACACCATTAGCACCGCAGTCCCCACGTCCAGCTTTACAGCTTGGTTGGGGTCTCGTTGTCTCCTACCCACCCTGGACCTACGACAAGGCTCCAGGTTCCAGAGGGTGAACCTCTCTTCCTCCAGAGAGTAAAGCAGGAACAGCTCTTAAAAGAGTTTAGTGATTATAATCCCTGGGGAGTATAGTGATATAGCAATCCCCAGGGTAGATGCAGCCTTTTCCCCCACACATGAGACAAGACTCTATGTTGAGGGTAAAACAGGAACTGAAGGTTTATTGTGGCACACTGCCTTTTATACAGTTTTCTCCACAAGGCTACCATCCAGGTGGACCTTGTGGGGCACAGGGACACAGGAACAACAAGCCAATCAAAACAGTATTTTACATTCAGTCACTCCCAGACTGTGTACACAATCCCTCCCCTCTGCTTATGAGATAATTGAGTTAATTACTGTATCAACTCAATTATCTCCAAACGAAAAATACAACTATTTTACACATTTTTAGAATTACCCCAAACACATAAGAAACCCCCACAAAATATACATTCCTGATAGCCCCGATCTGGGGGAACAACATACTCAAAAATCACCCAGATTGGTTCAGGGGTTAAAAAGTTAGCCAGAGGTCACATTTCTGCCTGGCCGCCCACGAGGCTACTGCCCAGAATAGTTCCATAAGTTCAGCTGGGTTGGCCGGTCTATTTCAGGGGCAGGGAAACACATTAAAATAACAAAATGACTGTTTGTGTCTATGATTCTCCA